CACACCAAGATGTACACCATAATTTGCTAAATATTTGAGATTTCTGATTAGCTTTGAGCCCTTTCAACTGACAGCAAAACCATAACACTTAGGCTAAGACAAATATTTTCCAGACTCATTGTTTTGAATGTAAATCTTCATTTGGTCCGTAGTTTTTATCTTTTATATTTACTCTTCCAATAGGAAAATTAATTCAAGAGAAAGATGGCATGAAGCAATTGTAAAGCGTTAGTTTTTTTCCTGAACCATATAATCTTCCAATCAAGATATAAACAACCTGTTTGGAATTCTGAAACTTGAGAATGACCTTAAAGAGATCTTTCGAAAATGTCTCTAATAATTCGAATGATGGAAGCATTAGCACAAGTGTTGACACGATTCCAAGGCTTTGGATTTTTTAAAAAGGTTATCCATGAAACAATTTAGAAATAGGGTCCGGGAAGTGTTTTTGGAGGTAACAATTTAGAAATATACTTAATGTTTTTTCAGACGCCTCACCTAGGAGTTGTACTCAGTGTGAAATCTTCCTCCTATACCCCTTCCCAGTGGGACGGAACAGAGATCTTTATGACAGGAAAATTCTTCTTGATCATCGCATCTCCTGGACTTATCTGGCATTTAGTAAGAGTGTGGTCGGTGTCCCATAGACAGAAATGATTAGCCCTGAGTTTATTTATTTTTCTTTGAAATTTTTTGTGAGAACCTGCGGCTATGCTTCTCTCAACCCCAAATTTAAAAAAAAAAAAATCAGGCAGAAATGCCAGTCCTGTCGTAGAAACAGCTCACTAATGGTTTATGAGGGGGGGAAAGAACCCCATTTTACAACAAATGAAGATTTTATTTTAGGCTTTGAATGACAAATTACTGTCAGAAAATGCATGTATAAAATAAACTGCGACAATATTCTTAGAAAGAAAATATGACTGGAAGTCCTTCCATAACCATATTATGGGGGGAGTTCTAAGAAGTTCGTTTACCAAATTCTTTGTGCAGCGAAAAGAAATTTCCATAGCTTCCCTTGAACCACATGAAATACAAAATAGCTTTTAAAGAAATGTACATAAAAGTGTAATGGGACCCTTCCATAGAGACTTGAGGTTTTAAATTATGTTAGGGGAAAGTAATGCATTTTGTATTGACATATTCACTATTTTATTTTCCAAAACAGATTTCCTTTCATTTTTTTAAATTAGAAGTTATTAAAAAGATGTATATTTCTCAAGTTTTCTCCATGTGAAATATTGGAATAAATGATTGTTAGTTTCTAATCATTTGTTAATTTCCATTTCGGGCCACCTGTAGGAAAATATTAGTACCTCTCGCCCATCCTTATACAATTCTCGAGAAAGAAATCATGAGGACAATATGTGACCATCACAGTGGAAATAAGAACTTGTGGGAAGAATGTCTGTCTCCTGGGCTCTGTTGGGGAAGTCAAAGGGAGCAAAGATGACTGGTCTCTGGTCCTTTTCAGTTTTCACATTAGCCACTGCAGGTACTGGGCTGCTGAGCTAAGGGCTCTTGATCATGCGGAAACGGTCCCTGGCTTTTTGTGTAGGACACAGGCAATACTGAAAGGAAGACCCAAGATGGGTCCCTCCTGTTCCATTCACCCAGCAACTTTCTGTTGCCCAGGAGTAGGACTCTGGCAGATCCTACTATGTCTTCTCCATCCTCCAGGAGATATATTTCTAGGCCCTAGATTTCAATCTTGTCCTCAAGTATTTTCTAATTCAGCAGCTGCACCAAGTTGCAGAACCAGAAGCTGAATTTGGCTTTCAGGAAGGACTCATTGCTTCTCTTTTAGGATCTTCATGTTTTTCTCCCACGGACAAAATCATTACTGCTTTCAAAGGTAATGCAAACAAGAAATATATGACAGAGGATTAAAAAAATAAGTTTACCACAAAAATGTACATGTAGCTCATGAGAGAGTGTGCATGTTTTGAATAACAGTTTGCTCTTGCTCTTCAACTATAATTGTGTATCGAGAATTCCATATCTCCCTTAAAGTGATATAATGATAACTAAGTTTCAAGTAAGTATTTTCATGAAGGGTAGTATTAATTTAAATGTAATTCCATTTTATCCCAGTTCCATTGGCCATTTTTTCTTCTTGGGATTAATGTAATTACAAAATTGCTTTTGCTAAGTGTTTGTTTTTATTTAGCACAGTTTATTTGCAATAAAATATTTGTGCCCTATGTCATGAACTCCCTTTCATTGACACGGTCACATTTGTCATATTTTTATTTTTCCCATCCATTCTTGCTCATCAGGCCAGTGCACAAAGAGATACCCCTGGTGTGAAAGGGGTAGGCTAGGCATTGAACAACCTCTATTTTAGATCCTTTTCTTCTGGTAGACATGCCTGAATAATTTGGGCTGAAATAAAATACTTAATAAATTAGTACATCAGTAGCATTTTTTTGAATTTTCCAGATATATGTATGTAAAATCATCTATACAAACTGAAAGGCCAAAAAAAAAAAAAAGAAAAAAGAAAAAACAAAACATGTAGATGGAAGAACATTCAGGAAATAACTTAAATGCATTCTGAGTTATGTTCAAGTTTTTTAAATGAGAAAATGAAGAAATTAACTTACTATAAACAGCGTCGGGGAGGGCCCATGAAGAGCCCCACGTTTTGGTGACTCCCCACCCTCCTGGAGCTCCGAGAATCTACTGGCTCTTTATTTTGTGACTCTCACTTTCCCCAAATCTCTAGTAAAATAAAACGATGCTCTGTCACGTATGATTATTTTTTTAGAATATAAGTAGTTTTTAAAGGCTTTTTAAAAAGCTATTTCACCACGTAACTCAAGAAAATTTAGATCCCCTGGAACATCTTTAAAAATTTGGGTATTGCTGTGTTGTTTTCCACACACTGGCCCCCCACTTCCCACATGCTCGCACACACAACTCAAACGAAAAGGCAGACGAGGAAACAGAGACTAGCTCTTCAGGGGAAAGGTGGGGGAAATTGGTGGCTTGTTAAAGTAGAGGAAGAAAGGGTCATCCATAGAAGGTGGTTAAGCAGACCTACCCCCCACTTTTGTCTCTTGGGGCTAACAGAACATGTAGATCAGTTTAAAGCTGCATTTCAAGAAGATTTTGTTTAGATAGGAGGCGGATGCAGACCATTCCCAAAGGGGGTGGTGGCGTCATTGGTTTTGGAATCTAATTTAAGATGTCTTTTCTGGGATGCAAGGCTAGGCCCTCTCTCCCGCCTTGCTGGACCCCCTCCACCCAGGAGTCTGTGGCCTGAATGACCTGGGCGGACAGCGTGAGGCCAGAGTCATGGCTTGGGGCTCACCGCTACCCTCTCCTCTCGCTCATATTTGTAACTTTCCCCCTCTATGCTTCAAACTCCGCCAAACCCAGCAGGGAGATGGTGGCCATGTGTGCAGTTGTGGCTCCCGCCTGAAATGCTTGGTAAACAGGCTCTTCACACTGTCCCCATCTCTTCTTGCAGTTGTTTCTTGACCCCTGCCGCTAGATGGTACGAAGTTGAGAAGAATCACTCCTGCTCTCCCGGGGCAGTTTTCCAGCTGCCAAATTAGTTAGCCACTTAACTTCCATCCCCAGGAGCTCTAAGGGTCAGCGAGCTTGAGTTTTCAGAACACTTCCCTGTGCGATCTGAAAGTTGGCTTGTTAATCGCAAGGTGGTGGTTGTTTTGTTTTGTTTTTGTTTCTTAAAGTTTTCTTGCTTTCCAGGGTTATTTACAAAACTGAACAGAGTTTTTAGAATATGCTTGTATTTCGGGCTTTTCTTTTCCTTTTAACACCTTCTCATATATGAAATGTTTTGATAAGAAATGAAAAGGCAGGGAGTGGAGGCAGTTACTTGGAGAGTTCTTTAGCACTCCCTCCCTCCCTCCCTCCCTCCCTCCTTTCCTTCCTTCCTTCCTCCCTCCCTTCCTTTCTTCCTTCCTTCTTCCTTCCCTCCTTCCCTCCTTCCCTTCTTCCCTCGCTTCCTTCCTTCCCTTCCTCTCTCCCTCCCCCCCTCCCTCTCTCCCTCCCTTCTTCCTTCCTCAGTAGGTAATATGTGTCAAGTACCACGTTGGGTGCTAGGAATATAAAGGTGAGTTAGGTTACTGCCCTCAAAACTCTCATAATTCAAAGTAGGTGACCAAAGTCATGACTGCACAGTGGGAGGGATGAGTAAAGCACCCAGGAGCATCAGGGAAGGAGTAATTATCTCTGATTACTTAGGGATGGCCAAGATAGGGAGAGGAACTTTCTTGAGAGGGAACACTGTGAGAATAGACACTGGCATCTTAAAATACATGAAAAGAATTTCATTTGAATCCGTTGATTTTTATTTTTTTTAAATTTTTTAAAAGATTTTAATTATTTATCTGATAGAGACAGATAGTGACAGAGATAGCAAGAAAGAGCACAAGCAGGGGGAGAGGCGAAGGGAGAGGAAGAAGCAGGCTCCCTGTGGAGCAGGGAACCGGACGTGGGGCTCGATCCCAGGACCCTGGGATGGTGACCTGAGCTGAAGGCAGACGCTTAACGACTGAGCCACCCAGGCGCCCCTGAATCTGTTGAATTAAAAAAAAAATACATAAGCTAATGTCTGTTTAAAACCACATGTGAAACTTCCAGATGTAATATATGATTAGCCAGTGTTCTATATCAACAGATATAATTTCTCCCTCCATCCTTCTGTCCCTTCTTTGAAATTCTAGACCGATTTTATTGCTAGAGGCATGGTGAGGTGCTCTTTCCACCTCTTTTTCTTTTCCCTCCCTCCCCCTGCTCCCTCCCTGCCCCACCTTTCCTTTTTCTGAAACTGAAGTCAGATGGTTATCACTGGGCATGATGCAGTGTCCAAGCCCCTTTGCATTGTGGTCAGTGTCTTCTGGACAGCCCTGTGTGAGCAGATTTCCCAAAGAAATAAAGATGGGACTTCTCCAGTTATCCTTTCAGCTCTCAGCTACGATCTGGTCCTCTGCATTCTTACTTCTTCCCAATCTGCCTGTTTATTTTAGGTAATGGGACTCCTGACCAACCACGGTGGCGTACCCCATCAGCCCCAGACCGATTACGCTCTCTCCCCTCTCACCGGGGGCCTGGAACCTACCACCACGGTGTCGGCCAGCTGCAGTCAGAGACTAGACCATATGAAGAGCTTGGACAGTCTGCCAACATCACAGTCCTACTGTCCACCCACCTATAGCACCACGGGCTACAGTATGGACCCTGTCACAGGCTACCAATATGGGCAGTATGGACAAAGTAAGCCTTGGTCTCTCTGGGGCTAATGACTCCTGACAGGATGAAAAATCTCAACCCTTACTCAAGAAAGGGGCTGCGGCGGCGGCGGTGGCGGCGGCATGATTAGGCCTGACATCCCAGTATCAGTATTGTGGCAGAGCCCGCCTTCTGTTCCAGCAAGGGCTCCCTTGTATCGTTATTTTCTTAACTGATGTCAACAACATCTTGCGGTTATTAATTGCCGCGATGTGAAGCCCGATTGCCACTAGGTAAAACACAAGGGTTGGCCAAAATGAAATAACCCCTGGTATTAGAAACACATGTTCTTAATGAGGTCAGCTCAAGGATCATATGGGGTATAATCCCAAGGACACAGACTTGTGTCAAACTTGTCTCAGGAATAAAAATATTAGTCTCGATCCTTTGATACCACGGTATTAAATATGACATTGTCAGCCTGTAGCTGATTTTGCCCCTTGCTGTGAATTGTCCTAGCATGACCTAAAAAGCTACGTGTGTTTCCTTACAGGTGCCTTTCATTATCTCAAGCCAGATATCGCATAAGTGAACTGTCCACCTGGAGCTAAAACTGGCCCTGTTTCCGGTCTCCACAGCCTACACATGAAGAATCTTCTCAGAAAAAAAAAAAAAAAATCATCTTTTTGGGGGGCAGTCTCACCAGGAGGCGGAGAAGAGTGATTGATTTTTTTTCTCCAGTAGTTGGTTTCAAATTTTTTGAACATATTGGACAAAAGCAGTGGAAGAAAGGAAGGCCTGGAACAGTGAAAAGACAAATGCAACATTTTAAGGCAATGATTTAACATGGCTACACATCAAATACCCCAACTCTTTAGTGCTGATGATCAAGGAGCTAAAACATTCCATTTGTGTGTGCGTGGCGCATGTGTGTGTGTCTCTGTGTGTGAGATTTATCTGGACTGGTTCAGGCAAGCAGAATGTTCTAAAATATAGTTGGAGAGTACTCTAAAGTATAACATGTTTGATGTTCAATGCTGACATACAATTTTAAAACTGCTCACCTAATGAAGCAGGAATGGAGGAATCCTTGACTTTTTTACACACTGGAAATTGATATAAAAATAAATGGCACCATTTTTTAGGAAGTTAGACTAGATGTAAAGGACCTCCCAAATAAATTATTTGTGATCTTATCCTCATTTGTAACCCAGTTGTCAATAAATGTCGCAGGGCGGACAGCCTTGCAAACAGGTTATGGGATAATGGGAAGAAAAAGCTTGTTTTCTTTCTCGGTGTGGGGAGAGGTATGTGACATTTTCCCAGTTCATTTTCATTTTGAAGCCAACCTGGCCAGGGTGGGGGGAGGGGGCATGGTGGAGAGGAAGTGACGAGCATTCCCACAGCTGCTTATCGGTGTGCAATACTGTGTACCTCACGGATGCTTTGGCAATGGCCAGGGCCGTAGAAACAGAATCAGAACTATATTTTTGCAGGTGCTTTATTTTCGCAGCCCATGATTCATTGCGGTAGAATGCATGATGTTCGCCATTTAATGGACAACCAACACCCAGCTTGCTCCTTTTGACTAGAGACCGTGTTTGAGAATCATGCTTTTACAATGACGACGTTTACATTCTTCTCTTTTCTATGAAAGGCAGGGCAAGAGCAGAAATGTCCACGTGGCTCTCATGTACTTTTAAATTATACAAGGATATCCAATATGGAAAGATTATAGGAACTGAGGTTTACATACGTTTGTGTGGTGACATTTTAGAATGTCAATAAATTTGTTTTTTCAAGCTGTTAAAGAGGAACGAAAAGGTGGAAAGCAGTGTTATTTATTTCTTTCTCTTCTTGGAACCATGAACGAGGTAGGCACAAATACATTCCCTTTAGAGTTAAGAACAATGTTGTAGTGGGGTAGTGAGACTAGACGTAGTTCCAGTTTAGTTCACGCGTTGGTCGTAGAGGGTGATGGGTCAAGAGCAGTACTATCTTTGTGTTGCAACCTCAACCAACAACAATGTGTTGTAAAAATGTCTTTCATGTAAAAAGTGCAGTAAATATTTACTATTTATAATGAATAAACAGTTATGAAAACTTGCCCAACACTGCTTTTTTGGGGAACCGGTGAACGTAGGATTAATAAAAACTTGCGTATGAACAACCCACAAACACATGCTTTGCTGCCAATGGGTCCTTTTGGATTAGCCTGTAACCTCCACAGATAGGGTCACACACCCCACAATCGTGTTCTCTTGAAGAGGCTTGGTTGAACACACTTTTTAAACGATGGAAGCTTTTATTTTTGTAGATGCAGTATTAACCAGACCCCTCAGTCCACCTTTCTCTCTCCATGGTTCTCTGAGCTGTCAGATCCCTTCATTGTCCTCTGGGAGTATGTCTTCCCCCAGAGTACCTTCTCTGTCTTCATCTTCAATGGTCATCTCCACTGAAATTTTTATTGAAAGCTTTCATATTTTGTCATTTATTTTATTTTAGAAGCTTTCTTCTCTCTTTATGGAAAACATTACTGCCTGTGTCATTCAATTCTTTCTTCCTCCTCCTTCTCCGCTTCCTTCTCTACTTCCCTCCCTCCCTCCCTCCCTCTGTCCCTTCAATACTTTTTTAAACACTTATTTATTGAGAGTCTAAGTGTATCAGGTATGGTGCTTGGCACTGGTGTTATGGCAATGTTTATAGCCTAGTGGGTAGGCCAGGGGAGTAAATGCACAGTCGCAATAAAGCATGAAGACTGCTTTTATCGAGTAAATAATCACAATGCCCTTTGAGGCTCCTTACCTGCATTAACCCATTTATTCCTCCCCACATCTTCTATGAGGCAGGCAGGTGTCGTTGTCATCGGCATTCCTCTTTCACGGATGAGGAAACCGAGGCATAACGTGCTTGTGTGAGATTAACCAGCGGCGAGCTGGGATTTGATTCCAGTCAGACCAATTCCGGAGCCTACGTGCTTAAACTCACTCTTCTGCCTCCCCAAGTCCAGGCTAGTGTGGGAGAACCTTATAGTCAAAGATCCAGAAAGATGTAAAGGAGCGCTGTCCAATTCCGCAAGCAGCTAGCCACATATGGATGTTTAAATTTGTAATAATTCGAAGTAAACAAAACTAATAAGTTGGTCCCACAGATGCACTAGCTGCATCTCGAGGGGACAATAGCCACATGTGGGCAGAAGCTGTGGTGTCAGGTAGTGTAGATCTGGAATATTTCGATCATTGCAGAAAGTTCTGCTCATCAGTGCTGGTCTAAAGCAGGTCTTTTTAAAACCCCAAGAACTTGAAGTGTGGAAGGTAAAATTTCCAAGTTCTTTAAATGTGTTAGGTGTTCTTGGCTCACACGCTCATCCTTCTGGTCAAATATGTTGCTCTTTTTCTGACAATTATTCCAAAAAAAATAATATATATATATTTTTGAGATTTTATTTATTCATTTGAGACACAGAGATACAGAGAGAGAGAGCATGAGTAGGGGGAGAGGCAAAGGGAGAGGCAGAAGCAGGCTCCCTGCTGAGCCAGGAGCCAGACGTGGGGCTCTATCCCACGACCCTGGGATCATGACCGGAGCAGAAGGCAGACGCTTAACCATCTGAGCCACCCAGGTGCCCCTATTCCAAAAATATTTTAAGAAAAGGAAAGGAAGGTAATCTTTACCGAACACTTTTGTTATCTTCTTTAGTCCTCACAAAATCCTGTGAGGTGGGCATGGTTAGCCCCAAATGACAGATAAATGGACTGAGGTCCTGAGTTGTTCATAAGTTGGGCCAAGGTCATACATAGTCAGAAATAGTAGAAGCAGGCTTTGACTTCTGCTCAGCCTGGTGGCAGAACCTGTCTTCATTTTACTGTTCCAAATCCTGCTGGCAACACTCACTTCATTATATCAACCTATCCTGTGCCAAACTCAAGTTGAAAGCAGGTATTACAAGAAATAATTCACTCCCAGTACGAGAGACCAATGCGTCCAGGAGCTGGGACTACACAACAGAAACTGATCTTCCATGTCACTTTCCCTCCCTGCCCAGTCTCAGAATTTGGTACATGTGGCTCATCTCTCTCTCTCTCTCTCTTTTTTTATAGATTTTATTTGAGAGAGAGAGAGAGCCCATGCATGAGCAAGGGTAGGGGCAGAGGGAGAAGCAGGCTCCCATTGAGCAGGGAGCCCAACACAGGGCTCCATCCCAGGACCCTGGGATCATAACCTGAGCTGAAGACAGACGTTTAACCAATTGAGCCACCCATATCTCTTGCTCATATCTCTTTTTGATATGTTTCTTTATGCCCTTATTTCTGCATGTCTCTGAGATCTCTTGCTCAGTTCATATTTCTCATGTTGAAAAATCTCTGTAGATCAATATTTCCCTGACTTTTTTTTTTTTTTTTTGGTTTGTATCTAATCAATCTCCAGAGGAATGAGGACTTGACTCCCCCCTAGTCCTGACTCCCCCCATCGGAGTCCTTGCTCTTATTCCCTGGGACAAGCTGCCTCTAAGGACCTTGAACCTTTGCATTCAACTTAGCTTGAACCTGACTCTGTGTAGAGGGTTTTGCCTTTGTCCATATAATTATACGCTTTGGTTGGAAAACTTAAAAGTAAAAACTAAAAATTAGAACTTAAAATTATTAAATCATGGACGTACTAACATCAGTTGCTGAGTCATTCCTTCCTGGGCAGCCATTTTCCTAGGAATAGGTATCATATTTCATATCTGTGATGGACACAAACATATTTTTTTGGCCCCACTTGGAAAGATATTTTCACACACACTTGGATATTTGGGGAACATCCTGTGTTAGGAGGGATCTTCATTAGTGCTGGCAACAGAACCAGCACGATGGACAAGGTCACTGGCTCATGGCTGTGGGTTTAGAAAGAGTCTTAAATGGGGGAGGGAATGGATTAATTGATGTCCTTTGTGCAGACATGCCATGGAAGACTTGATCCTGAAACTACATAATTACCACATGGAACCAGAACCAAGATGTCTATAGAAAGGAAATCTATTTGGGGATGAAGGCTTGGGCCTCAATCATTCTGGGTAAATAAATGATTTTTGGTGTTTAGTCATTTATGGATAAGGAGAGCTGGTGTCAAACATTGAAGAGTTTAAAAAACAAAACAAAACATTGAAGAGTAGAGCAAGCGCCAAGTGGCAGTGTTTATGCAAAGCAATCCACAAGGCCAGCCTCAGCCCTAGGCAAGCACTCATGGTTCTGGAATCAGTGTTGGATGGTATGTGAGAGAAAGGGAAAAAACAGACCTAGGCTCAGGCTTCTTGTCAAATGCTGGTGATATAAACTAGTCTCTCTCTCATAGATCCATTCTTCGGTATCACTGACCATTGTATCCCAAGAGCCTAGCACCATGTGTGACCCACAATGAGTACTCAGTACCTTCCTGTTGAATAAATGAATAAATAAATGAATGAAGAGTGCCTCTTTTGTACTGTCCTGACATGATCTTCTGAAGAAGGAGCTCAACCTCGAGGGTGTGTGAATTGGGGTGAACAAGTTTGATATTGCAATGATCCCTAGGTTAGGGGACCAGCTAGATGGCTAAGGTAAAAC